TTTTTTTTTTTTTTTGGCAATTCAACACAAACAAGCTGCCCCCTTTCGTCCTGGGAAAAGCACCCTATTTTGGATTTTCCCTATCATTTATCTGCTTTAACAGGCCGTACCCCCCTGAGTTTTGTCGTCAACACCCATTTTTGTCTTTTTCTATTTCATAATCTCGATACATTTGATTGTATGGATGCTCGATATAGATTCTTTATGGTTTCTTCTCTGGTGATGCAGAATATAGCCCAAAATTCTACCTCTATTCAATATTCCGAATAACAAAAACTATGTGCAATAGTTTAGCTTAAACCGTTTCTAATAACAGCTTGCCTCACATCTTACAGAATATCGCAAATGCTCTTAAGTGGAACTCCTCACATCTTACAGAATATCGTAGATGCTCTTAACTCACGCCGAGGAAAATAAAAATTACACTGTGGGAATAATGCTTCATACCCATTGCAAGCCCAGAATACCGAAACATCATTTATTATTCATAGTAANTGCAAAGCATTGGGCCAGAGCGACTGAGATAGGCGATATTTGGAATCCAGGCCTTCACGGTCTAGGAGGCGACGGAGATATGCCTAATGGCTGCGTCAGAAATGGGCCTTTTAAGGAAAGAATTTTTGTCATACCTGAAACGAATGGGGAAGGATGTTTGCAAAGAAATTTCAATCTTTCATGCCCTCTTCCAAGTAAAGCAACGGTACAGAAGATGATAAACGATGAAAATTTCACCGCTTTTGAAATCTTTATTCGCAATACAATTCATCCGACTTTTCATGATTGTGTCGGTGGCCACATGCTAAAACACCAAACTGCTTCTTTCACTCCTGAGTTTTGGATCCATCATAGCTTTATAGATAAACTCTGGACAGATTGGCAGATGAAGAGAGACAACCACACTTTTGAGTATTTCACTGACGTTGCCTTTGAGATGCCACTAAGTGGTCTGTTTCCATGGGAACTGCTCGATAATCACAACTTACCCGCCGGGATTAGAATTACCTATGAACAGCCAGGAAATCACGTTCAAGACTTTCGGCTAAACAATTTTGTATGAAAACTACATGCATGCGATCAAGTGTTCAAATCATGAATGAAAATATGACATAAAAACACGGCATGATTAAAAGGGAAAGAAATGACAGAGTTCCAAGTTTTTTTTGTTTTTTTTTTGCAATTCAACGCAAACAAGCTGCCCCTTTTCGTCCTGGGAAAAGCACCCTATTTTGGATTTTCTCTATCATTTATCTGCTTTAACAGGCCATACTCTCCTGAGTTTTGTCGTCAACACCCATTTTTGTCTTTTTCTATTTCATGATCTCGATACATTTGATTGTACGGATGCTCGGTATAGATTCTTTATGGTTTCTTCTCTGGAGATGCAGAATATAGCCCAATGTTCTACCGCTATTCAATATTCCGAATAACAAAAAATATGTGCAATAGTTTAGCTTAAACCGTTTCTAATAACAGCTTGCCTCACATCTTACAGAATATCGTAAATGCTCTTAACTCGCGCCGAGGAAAATAAAAAGTATACTGTGGGAATAATGCTTCATACCCATTGCAAGCCCAGAATACCGAAACATCATTTATTATTCATAGTAACTGAAAAAGCGATAAATGCTGTGAAAAGCGCTTTATATTAGTTGACTGACATGGGTTACGGCCTTTCCAAGTCAGATTTATTAAACTGACAACAAGTACTACACAAGATAAAAACACACGTTTATTATCATTGCACTCGTTCTTTAGACCACGCCAGTATATACAGGTAAACTCATTAATTAACCTACACAAAAAATTAATGTGGAGACTTGAAATAACTTGGTACAATATTTCTGGCAAACGTTGAAACGTCGAAAAATAAAACTCAATATGAGTTGCTCAATTTAATAATAAAGATACAAAAATGCTGAGTTTATTTTTTGGCAAAACCTAGTCTGCCTCTACTCAGTAACTTCTACTAAACCTATCAAAAACCATTGGCTTTAAATGTCCACACATTTACTAAACTGAAGTAAAGATTTAAAAGTAGTATGATGACCCAGTTCATACTAGAGACAACTGTTTTATCTTTTCTATATTCTATACCTGAAAAACAAGAATCCTGAACGATGCACATTCACATTCAGGTTTAAATCGACCCACTATCAAGAAAATACACTAATTTTATTTAGTAAAATTCTACTAGTATACTAATGCAAATGCTGTACTCTGATTGGCTGAGCCATTGCACATTATCGGCCATTAGTGTGCAGTGGCTTGGTTTGGTCCAAAAAATTGCAACGTTTCCTCGTTTCCCCGAAGTTTTGAAAGGACATTTAGAAACAAATGGATAATCAAATAGCTGACTCGGAAGACTAAAAGGAGGGAAATTTCGGTTTCTTGAATTAAAAAGCTCGAAATTTTTGACAGAAACCGATAAGCGCGCGTACACAACTGCAAATGTTGTTAAATAGTAGCATTACTAGTCCTAACAACGTAATTCTTTGGTTTTTTGATAGATGGAAAACACTCTGACAAACAGTTCTCATCTGAACCTTTTGTCTTGGCGAGAGTAGAATTCTTTGGCTCATTTTATTGATAGAACTACCTTATGCCTTATTCCACCTTCTTTTGCTAAGCGTTGCCTTCACCCTTTCGATTGCCTGATTTGTATACTAGAAATGATCATTGAACCGAGCCAGAAATACAGTAACGAAAAAATAACAAAACGAAATTGTTTCTTTCCTGAGTCGATGTTATCATAATTTTGTCTTACTTTCTCTTGCTCAATCCTCGATTTCCAGTTTTTCTTCTTCGTTTTCACACTGTTTTATGTATTTATCAATGGATCCTTTGATTTTTTCTGACTTCTTTATTTTATCCCAACCCTTAAATTTCTCACTTTTGATCAATCCATTAAATAGTATTCCTGTAAGTTTTCCGCTCAGCAGTACAGCGCCAGCCTCTACCAGTGTCGAAGAGTTGAACACCTCACCAAAGAAAACAATGATTGCTAAAGCCAGCATTGAGATACTTGAAATTATTAGCATATTGGCAAGCATAGCGAATATCTCTGGTTCAATGGGTAAAACATCCTTGCAAATATACCAGAACAACGTTTCTGGAATAGTTTTACGGATAATTTCTGCATTTGGTAGAGAATTGATTTTCTTTTTGCAATACTTGAAAATTATCTTTTTCATTTCTTTGAATCTCTTTTGAAACGTATTGTAGCAAAGAGAAATATTGCTAACAAAGACAAAACCAAAAGCCACATAGGGAGTTGTTTTTTTCGCGTTTATAATCAACCCCACTACGACAAAACCAAACATTCTGATATAAAAACTGCAGCATACGGTCACCGCGAGACTAAAATAAATCAACCATGCTAAAAACAATGGCAAACAATAACAAAAACTTGATTTTGTCAGGTTTCTCTTAAGAGATGCGTAAATAATCTGTATGAGAGTGGTAAAAGGTGACCAACGAATGACATCAGTTGCAAGTAATAATATTACACTCAGCAGTAAAACGGGAACTTCTACAACTATCAAAACAATTAAGGCAAGCACAGTTAGTAAAATACGAAAAATAACAAAAGCAGTTGACAAAAAAGAAAATAACATTAGAAATAAAATTTTTCTGCTTTCTAGCGACTTTTTTTTCAGATATTCTATGGCGCGGTAAGACCTTGTAGTGACAGATTTGCCTGGTTCAGGATTCTCACGATTTGGTTGTGTTAGGCGAATGAATCCTTTATAACAGTAATTGAGATGCAGTTCACGGAAGACGTTCAGGTTTTTAAAAACTTTCGTGGAAATCTCCCGTTCAATTTCTTCTGATGCGTACGCTGTGAAAAAGATGAAAATAGCAGGCAATATAATGAAAAATATGATTACAGGTATTAAACAATAAAGCTTACTACTTCTAATATCAAAAACATAATAAAACAAGGAATTCTCTGGAAAAGCATTTTTCGCGTCTGCTTCTTTGAGATAGTCCAAAAAGAAGGCGTAATTTAAGACGAGAACGATGTAAGCGTAGAAAAGAATACGAAAATAATAGGACCTAACCATGTGCTCGACAATGTTTTGCTTCCGATCCTCTTTACGGACACGAAAATGTTTAAGAAGCTTTCTGAAAAGCGCATTGCAACTAATCGGACTTAAGTCGTCAACTGGAATTTCGTTCTTATGATTTTCCGTATCGTCCGCAGATTGTTTTTCAAGCCAAGATATAACAGCCGGCCAAAAGAAAAACAAAACTATAATTCCAAAAGTGAGCACGTGATAAAATAACATGTACCATCTGTTGTATTGCACTGGAAGATCACACTGCACAACAGTTTTATTTCCGCTTTGTTCTTGCTTGCAGCAATGGTATTGGAGATTTCCTCCGAACCAAGAGGCTAGCCAGTTGATATCCCTTTTAACAACTGAAAAGCACACGACATCTTCCGAGAGTGAGGGATCAGTTGAAGCATCTGTTATGTTCTCCAGGAGTGTTGTAGCAACCATAATGTCTTTGCAAGAAGAGGTCAGGTTTGCAGCACAGCCTCGTGGTTCATCACTCAACGTCACTTTAATATTCCTGACTTGATTCTTTAAAAGACCGAGTGATAAGACCTGGTACTGGTACGAAAAATACAGCATCGGTTCTTCAACGCCTCGTGCCCAGATCCATCTGTTGGGAAGGAACCTGTCGCTTGACTGTAGTGGGTTGTAACTTTCATTGCCGACATTTAAATGAAGATAGACCATTCTAACGCCATCTTCAGAAGACTTTGATTGAAATTCAGCAGTAAGGTCGTTTCCATCAAGCAGGAGCTTACACTGATCAGTGCAAGTCTCGTTAGCTCCCAGAGTTGATTTTAACAGCCAGAACACCAGGAACAGAACCGCTTTGACTTCCATCAATGTAACTGGTAAGTAACTGTGCTTGGTAAGGAACAATTTCTACAAAGAAATGAAGTGTTTTACATTGTTTACTTGAGAACTAAACTGAAGTCTTTGGTAAAAGGTCATTTCTCTTCCTCAAAGAAGTCTCAAGACTATTTGTCTTTCTCAAAATTCGTTATTAAAGTAGATAGTCACTTCGCCATCACTATGATCATATCACTGCAGCACTATCTAATATCTACAAGCTTTACTTCTGTTTACCGTAGTAAAGGGAAAAAGGAGAATAAAGAGGGCAATATTAGCCGCGATCCCCACATACCCAACAAATCATCTTGCGCCGATTTCTACAGCCTTTACTGCTGTTTACCGTATTAGAGGGAAAAACGAGAATAAAGAGCTATTATCAACAGTGACTCCTACACACCCGGCAATATCATTTTGTGCCGATTTCAACAGCCGTAGAGTTGCCTACAAGTGGAGCTGCGAAAGCTGAGCTGGNGTCTTTCTCAAAATTCGTTATTAAAGTAGATAGTCACTTCGCCATCACTATGATCATATCACTGCAGCACTATCTAGTATCTACAAGCTTTACTTCTGTTTACCGTAGTAAAGGGAAAAAAGAGAATAAAGAGGGCAATATTAGCCGCGATCCCCACCCACCCAACAAATCATCGTGTGCCGATTTCTACAGGCTTTACTGCTGTTTACCGTATTAGAGGGAAAAAGGAGAATAAAGAGCTATTATCAACAGTGACTCCTACACACCCGACAATATCATTTTGTGCCGATTTCAACAGCCGTAGAGTTGCCTACAAGTGGAGCTGCGAAAGCTGAGCTGGGAACGAAAAACAAATTCGCTAAGCTCAAAACCCGAGTGCCACGGTATATTACCTACAACCAAGTAGACAGTGACAATGCAAGTTTATGCTTGTTAATCGCTGCCATCAAGCGTGGTGAAACTGAAGTATATAGTTCTTTGGAACGTTTGATACGTATGGAAACTTTGTTGTTTACTGTGGCAGCTGTGCACACTTCAAAAGAAACAACTTTATGCTCAAAATCTTCTCAAATTTATTTTGTCCATCTTAACTGCCCTCAGTCTTGGACTGTCAACATAAAATGGGATGAAATCCCATCAGTCGTGAAATTAGGCGCCCGCTGAGGGCGGGAGATGACTGGCATTTCAGGCTAGTCTAGTCATAGCCGAATTGATGACCAAAACTTGTCGCCCAATACGAACTACTACATATATATATTGAAAAATAACTAAACAAAACTTACGGAATCCGGATAGTGTCGTCGGAGTCAAAGTGAAACTCAACTCAAACGCGTCTCCAAATCGCGATTTAGTCACTGCCTGTTCGATGGCTCAAGATGACTGNACTGGTGCAACAAACCCTATTTACAGAGACGAATATAGAAGAATATGCAAAATTCATTCAAAGATGCCCACCAAACTTCTTCATCACATGCCTCAGATATTTCTCCCTTGGCACAGATGGTATTTGCTGGAATTTGAAAATTTTCTTCGTCAAATTGACTGTCGAGTGACAATTCCTTACTGGGACTGGAGCAAGGATGCAAAGCATTGGGCCAGAGCGACTGAGATAGGCGATATTTGGAATCCAGGCCTTCACGGTCTAGGAGGCGACGGAGATATGCCTAATGGCTGCGTCAGAAATGGGCCTTTTAAGGAAAGAATTTTTGTCATACCTGAAACGAATGGGGAAGGATGTTTGCAAAGAAATTTCAATCTTTCATGCCCTCTTCCAAGTAAAGCAACGGTACAGAAGATGATAAACGATGAAAATTTCACCGCTTTTGAAATCTTTATTCGCAATACAATTCATCCGACTTTTCATGATTGTGTCGGTGGCCACATGCTAAAACACCAAACTGCTTCTTTCACTCCTGAGTTTTGGATCCATCATAGCTTTATAGATAAACTCTGGACAGATTGGCAGATGAAGAGAGACAACCACACTTTTGAGTATTTCACTGACGTTGCCTTTGAGATGCCACTAAGTGGTCTGTTTCCATGGGAACTGCTCGATAATCACAACTTACCCGCCGGGATTAGAATTACCTATGAACAGCCAGGAAATCACGTTCAAGACTTTCGGCTAAACAATTTTGTATGAAAACTACATGCATGCGATCAAGTGTTCAAATCATGAATGAAAATATGACATAAAAACACGGCATGATTAAAAGGGAAAGAAATGACAGAGTTCCAAGTTTTTTTTGTTTTTTTTTTGCAATTCAACGCAAACAAGCTGCCCCTTTTCGTCCTGGGAAAAGCACCCTATTTTGGATTTTCTCTATCATTTATCTGCTTTAACAGGCCATACTCTCCTGAGTTTTGTCGTCAACACCCATTTTTGTCTTTTTCTATTTCATGATCTCGATACATTTGATTGTACGGATGCTCGGTATAGATTCTTTATGGTTTCTTCTCTGGAGATGCAGAATATAGCCCAATGTTCTACCGCTATTCAATATTCCGAATAACAAAAAATATGTGCAATAGTTTAGCTTAAACCGTTTCTAATAACAGCTTGCCTCACATCTTACAGAATATCGTAAATGCTCTTAACTCGCGCCGAGGAAAATAAAAAGTATACTGTGGGAATAATGCTTCATACCCATTGCAAGCCCAGAATACCGAAACATCATTTATTATTCATAGTAACTGAAAAAGCGATAAATGCTGTGAAAAGCGCTTTATATTAGTTGACTGACATGGGTTACGGCCTTTCCAAGTCAGATTTATTAAACTGACAACAAGTACTACACAAGATAAAAACACACGTTTATTATCATTGCACTCGTTCTTTAGACCACGCCAGTATATACAGGTAAACTCATTAATTAACCTACACAAAAAATTAATGTGGAGACTTGAAATAACTTGGTACAATATTTCTGGCAAACGTTGAAACGTCGAAAAATAAAACTCAATATGAGTTGCTCAATTTAATAATAAAGATACAAAAATGCTGAGTTTATTTTTTGGCAAAACCTAGTCTGCCTCTACTCAGTAACTTCTACTAAACCTATCAAAAACCATTGGCTTTAAATGTCCACACATTTACTAAACTGAAGTAAAGATTTAAAAGTAGTATGATGACCCAGTTCATACTAGAGACAACTGTTTTATCTTTTCTATATTCTATACCTGAAAAACAAGAATCCTGAACGATGCACATTCACATTCAGGTTTAAATCGACCCACTATCAAGAAAATACACTAATTTTATTTAGTAAAATTCTACTAGTATACTAATGCAAATGCTGTACTCTGATTGGCTGAGCCATTGCACATTATCGGCCATTAGTGTGCAGTGGCTTGGTTTGGTCCAAAAAATTGCAACGTTTCCTCGTTTCCCCGAAGTTTTGAAAGGACATTTAGAAACAAATGGATAATCAAATAGCTGACTCGGAAGACTAAAAGGAGGGAAATTTCGGTTTCTTGAATTAAAAAGCTCGAAATTTTTGACAGAAACCGATAAGCGCGCGTACACAACTGCAAATGTTGTTAAATAGTAGCATTACTAGTCCTAACAACGTAATTCTTTGGTTTTTTGATAGATGGAAAACACTCTGACAAACAGTTCTCATCTGAACCTTTTGTCTTGGCGAGAGTAGAATTCTTTGGCTCATTTTATTGATAGAACTACCTTATGCCTTATTCCACCTTCTTTTGCTAAGCGTTGCCTTCACCCTTTCGATTGCCTGATTTGTATACTAGAAATGATCATTGAACCGAGCCAGAAATACAGTAACGAAAAAATAACAAAACGAAATTGTTTCTTTCCTGAGTCGATGTTATCATAATTTTGTCTTACTTTCTCTTGCTCAATCCTCGATTTCCAGTTTTTCTTCTTCGTTTTCACACTGTTTTATGTATTTATCAATGGATCCTTTGATTTTTTCTGACTTCTTTATTTTATCCCAACCCTTAAATTTCTCACTTTTGATCAATCCATTAAATAGTATTCCTGTAAGTTTTCCGCTCAGCAGTACAGCGCCAGCCTCTACCAGTGTCGAAGAGTTGAACACCTCACCAAAGAAAACAATGATTGCTAAAGCCAGCATTGAGATACTTGAAATTATTAGCATATTGGCAAGCATAGCGAATATCTCTGGTTCAATGGGTAAAACATCCTTGCAAATATACCAGAACAACGTTTCTGGAATAGTTTTACGGATAATTTCTGCATTTGGTAGAGAATTGATTTTCTTTTTGCAATACTTGAAAATTATCTTTTTCATTTCTTTGAATCTCTTTTGAAACGTATTGTAGCAAAGAGAAATATTGCTAACAAAGACAAAACCAAAAGCCACATAGGGAGTTGTTTTTTTCGCGTTTATAATCAACCCCACTACGACAAAACCAAACATTCTGATATAAAAACTGCAGCATACGGTCACCGCGAGACTAAAATAAATCAACCATGCTAAAAACAATGGCAAACAATAACAAAAACTTGATTTTGTCAGGTTTCTCTTAAGAGATGCGTAAATAATCTGTATGAGAGTGGTAAAAGGTGACCAACGAATGACATCAGTTGCAAGTAATAATATTACACTCAGCAGTAAAACGGGAACTTCTACAACTATCAAAACAATTAAGGCAAGCACAGTTAGTAAAATACGAAAAATAACAAAAGCAGTTGACAAAAAAGAAAATAACATTAGAAATAAAATTTTTCTGCTTTCTAGCGACTTTTTTTTCAGATATTCTATGGCGCGGTAAGACCTTGTAGTGACAGATTTGCCTGGTTCAGGATTCTCACGATTTGGTTGTGTTAGGCGAATGAATCCTTTATAACAGTAATTGAGATGCAGTTCACGGAAGACGTTCAGGTTTTTAAAAACTTTCGTGGAAATCTCCCGTTCAATTTCTTCTGATGCGTACGCTGTGAAAAAGATGAAAATAGCAGGCAATATAATGAAAAATATGATTACAGGTATTAAACAATAAAGCTTACTACTTCTAATATCAAAAACATAATAAAACAAGGAATTCTCTGGAAAAGCATTTTTCGCGTCTGCTTCTTTGAGATAGTCCAAAAAGAAGGCGTAATTTAAGACGAGAACGATGTAAGCGTAGAAAAGAATACGAAAATAATAGGACCTAACCATGTGCTCGACAATGTTTTGCTTCCGATCCTCTTTACGGACACGAAAATGTTTAAGAAGCTTTCTGAAAAGCGCATTGCAACTAATCGGACTTAAGTCGTCAACTGGAATTTCGTTCTTATGATTTTCCGTATCGTCCGCAGATTGTTTTTCAAGCCAAGATATAACAGCCGGCCAAAAGAAAAACAAAACTATAATTCCAAAAGTGAGCACGTGATAAAATAACATGTACCATCTGTTGTATTGCACTGGAAGATCACACTGCACAACAGTTTTATTTCCGCTTTGTTCTTGCTTGCAGCAATGGTATTGGAGATTTCCTCCGAACCAAGAGGCTAGCCAGTTGATATCCCTTTTAACAACTGAAAAGCACACGACATCTTCCGAGAGTGAGGGATCAGTTGAAGCATCTGTTATGTTCTCCAGGAGTGTTGTAGCAACCATAATGTCTTTGCAAGAAGAGGTCAGGTTTGCAGCACAGCCTCGTGGTTCATCACTCAACGTCACTTTAATATTCCTGACTTGATTCTTTAAAAGACCGAGTGATAAGACCTGGTACTGGTACGAAAAATACAGCATCGGTTCTTCAACGCCTCGTGCCCAGATCCATCTGTTGGGAAGGAACCTGTCGCTTGACTGTAGTGGGTTGTAACTTTCATTGCCGACATTTAAATGAAGATAGACCATTCTAACGCCATCTTCAGAAGACTTTGATTGAAATTCAGCAGTAAGGTCGTTTCCATCAAGCAGGAGCTTACACTGATCAGTGCAAGTCTCGTTAGCTCCCAGAGTTGATTTTAACAGCCAGAACACCAGGAACAGAACCGCTTTGACTTCCATCAATGTAACTGGTAAGTAACTGTGCTTGGTAAGGAACAATTTCTACAAAGAAATGAAGTGTTTTACATTGTTTACTTGAGAACTAAACTGAAGTCTTTGGTAAAAGGTCATTTCTCTTCCTCAAAGAAGTCTCAAGACTATTTGTCTTTCTCAAAATTCGTTATTAAAGTAGATAGTCACTTCGCCATCACTATGATCATATCACTGCAGCACTATCTAATATCTACAAGCTTTACTTCTGTTTACCGTAGTAAAGGGAAAAAGGAGAATAAAGAGGGCAATATTAGCCGCGATCCCCACATACCCAACAAATCATCTTGCGCCGATTTCTACAGCCTTTACTGCTGTTTACCGTATTAGAGGGAAAAACGAGAATAAAGAGCTATTATCAACAGTGACTCCTACACACCCGGCAATATCATTTTGTGCCGATTTCAACAGCCGTAGAGTTGCCTACAAGTGGAGCTGCGAAAGCTGAGCTGGAAACGAAAAACAAATTCGAAAAGCTCAAAACCCGAGTGCCACGGTATATTACCTACAACCGAGTAGACAATGACAATGCAAGTTTATGCTTGTTAATCGCTGCCATCAAGCCTGGTGAAACTGAAGTATATAGGTCTTTGGAACGTTTGATACGTATGGAAACTTTGTTGATTACTGTGGTAGCTGTGCACACCTCAAAAGAAACAACTTTATGCTCAAAACCTTCTCAAATTTCTTTTGTCCATCTTAACTGCCCTCAGTCTTGGGCTGTCGACATAAAATGGAATAAAATCCCATCAGTCGTGAAATTAGGCGCCCTCTGAGGGCGGGAGATGACTGGCATTTCAGGCTAGTCTAGTCATAGCCGAATTGACGACCAAAACTTGTCGCCCAATACGAACTACTGCATATATATATTGAAAAATAACTAAACAAAACTTACGGAATCCGGATAGTGTCGTCGGAGTCAAACTGAAACTCAACTCAAACGCGTCTCCAAATCGCGATTTAGTCACTGCCTGTTCGATGGCTCAAGATGACTGAGAAACTCGAGATATGCAGGAGGTATATAAACCTCATGCAGTCCAAAGGTAATTACACTGGAATGTTCATCCGGTCACCGCGAATGCGGTAAAAGCATCTCAACTAGAACAAAAAGAATGACTTGACACCGGAAAACAGGATTTAGGCTACACTGGCGGGTTCTCTCTCGTCAAGTGCAAGGAATGATCTTCCGGTACCATTATACACTTG